GGGGGGGGGGCGAGAGAACTCCGCCGTTCTCGCGCAACGAATGTTAAATTATTGTGACTCTAATAAATCCACCGTCGAATCATCCGCCGGTCGTCGTTAAAATTACGCCGCGAAAAAATACGATCTCCGGAGAGCAAGGAGCAAGATAAATATTGTTCCCGTCTCTTTCGCGCGCGCGAGAGAGAGAGCCGGGGCGTGGGTGAAAGTTTCATTCCCCGGCGCGCATCGTGCGATCACGATATTCTCTGCCTCGACCGCCTGGTCTCGGCCATTCACCCCGACTTTAGCGGAGTTAACACCCCCCTCCCCCCCCACCCTCGCTCTTCTCGGCGAGCGTTCCCTTTTTTTTCCCTACCTCCGACTTTTTTTTTCGATTCGTCGATGTCCGGTCAATCTACGGGGATTCCACGCGGATTTTCCGTCCGTGGGGGTTGACGCGAAAACAAATATTTTCAACGCCGACGTTGGAGCGCGAAAAGCCTCTGTAAATACGTCATTTTATCCTGCGCGATGAAATATGAACGGAAAACGAGAGCCGCGATATGGATGTACCATGCCCCGCTTTACGCATACGACGATCGGAGGTGTCTCTGTCGATCTGTAAATGTAATACACATCGCGCTGAAAGTAGAAATTGAATTGAGGTCTTTCGGAAACAGCTGCGCCCGCGCTCGGGTAACATCTTTGCCTCTCGACTCTGATCGATATCGCACGCCATTCACGCGGACGTCCGGCGAAATGTACGCAGATCCCGCTTGTCCCTTTCGTCTCCATTACGGATGCGCCCTCTGCGAAGCGGCCGAGATGAATATGTATTTTCTGCACAGCGCGCCACGCGAAAGTACGGGAATTTATAAAGAGCGTGGCGCAGCCATCCCCGGCCGTTCTCAATCTATTTTCTCGCCTCTCGCATAATAATAATCCCGTACCCGGGGGGTGATTAACCTCGAGAGTGACAAGTAATTGTCGTTCGCGAAATATCTGGCGATGAAAGACCATCTGTCGAAACCCCCTTCGACCATTTCTCCTTCATTTTTCCCCCCCACATTCTCTTTTCGTCCGTTAATATCGATGCTCCGGACAATGAAACTCCCTGACGCGGAGAGGCGCTTCTTTTCGCGTGTGATGAATATGCATTTTATGCAAAATGCATCCGCATTTGCCTCGACTTAAGTCAAGGAAGAAGGAAAGCCGGACTGCGCGAGGCTTTCGCAGGAAGGTAGAAGATCCGCCTAACGATCCTCGAAAAGTTGCCGCGAGTAAAAGAATTATGCAGGATTATAAGTGCGTGAATTTCGATCTAATTATGCAAACTCCGATCTCCATTGCGGAGATAAGCAACCTCTCCGGCATCCCTTTTTTTTCTTTTTTTTTTGGAAAACATGAAAAACATAACGCATCGGGAAAATCAGGTATAGGGGCAAAGGGGGGGAGGAGGGAGGGGGGGGGAAGAAATGTCGCCCCCAGGGAGCGACGGAGAAAATTTTATAGCGTATCGACTATCGAGCATCTAAGGGCGTTATTATGGTACACGATAAAATTCAGGATCGATTCACCCTTAATCGCATATTACTATGCGATACGTGGGCAGCGGCGGGTTGCTTCGATCCCGGGGGATAATAATAACGCGGTAATCAACCCTTCGAGAAGTTTCGTAGAATGGCGGTTTAATAATGCACGCGATACGCTCCCGGAATCCGCATTGTCGAACGACGGATGAACGAAATTGAATCGCAACGTTCACAGTTATTTCCGTGAAATACAATGTATCTGGAATTAATGGTATTCATTTTAGCCGCATTAACTTTTTCACCCCGGTTCCGGCGAACTAAAATCGAAACGTCAAAAATGTGAAATGTAAAACGCCAGAAAAACTTGGCGCGGAAACTCTTCTGCTCTGCGCGTATTATGTCCGACTTACAATAACGGCGCCGTATAATTGCGCTTGGAAATGAATATTGTTGTTAATAACAATATCCCCATGCATATTTTCTACACAACGGCGGAAGTGAAAATGGTGATTCGCCGGGATAGTGCGTGGTCGCAACGAAAGGCGGAAAAACACGGAAAAGCGTGAAAGCGTGGCTGTTACTCCGCGCAAAATCTAATTAATTGTTCGCGCAAACTTTTTCGCGCACCGGAACCTTTGAAATTTTTCGACTTGACGTCACCAGGTCGAAAAGCGAGCACAAAAGTTACTCGTTTCGGGCGTTCCGCTTTGCAACAGTGATTGTCGAAAATACTCGGGCTCTTCGCAATTCAGATTTCACTTCAACATTTTTAGAACAATTTATCATTTACGCCGTGTACAGAAATAAATTTCGATGCAAGCGGTTATTTTTTTCGGATGATCTTTACATAAATCTCAAGTACAAGCGTCCGAATGTATCGGACAAATCGAACCATGTATTTCCATAGCCTCGTTGAATAATCTATGAGGGTCACTCGATCTTCGTTTGTCTTCACCTCACACCTTCCATCGATCGTTTGCGCGGCGATCGGTTTACTCCATTTCCCCCCCCCCCCTCCTTTGGTTATATCGTTTACTCTTCGCTGTCATAATCGACGCTGAGCGTACGGCCAACTACGCCTGGAGAATTGTCGTCCGTAAGCGCGCTCGTATAGTCGAGAAGTTTGTTCTCGAAGGAGAGAAAAACTTATCCTCACGTGCGGCTCTCGTCCAAACACTTATAATTACTCGAAGCTTATTGCTCTCAGCGGATGATAAACTTTCAGTACCAAGGTAAACACGAGTCTCTCCTCTCGAGCTTTGCATCTCGAGCGGAAAAAAATTAGAAATATTTTATATACTTTCCGATATTGTTGATTTTGTGAGCTTTTTATCAACGACTCGAAGAAATCGACGCACAGAAGACTCACGTTGCACGAAGAAGGGGGATTAGACCACGGGATGGCGAATGAAACTAAAGAAAACGGTAAAAGTTAAACACGGAGGGCGCATACAAATGTCTCTTTTTTGAGATGAGGATGCACTCTCACGCTCGGGGCGACGTTTAGTCGTTGAAGAGGAGAAATAACATATCATACTTGGATAAGCGTAGAAATAAGA